ATAAACAACTATTGCTTTGTCATGCAAATATTCTGGAAAAGAAGACTCAAAAGTTTCAGTTGAAAAAGAACCTACCTTAATGAACTCAATAAAAAAAGAGCTGGAGGATTCCTATCTCAGTTCTTAAGACACTATGTTCAAACTAATTAAAATCTTCCTTTGTACATAAGGGGCTTTGACAATATGTTTCGTACAGTAGGAAGGCTAATCTGGAAATGTCTCTGGCAAATAGAAGGGCTTTACATTCAGTATATAAGCTATTATTTTTTCATTATAAAATCTCCACCCCATCCATTTCCCAAGTTTTTTATTTAGTTTTGACATCAAAAGTACATAAACATGTTAAAAATAAATCTTTCAGGTAAACAATGTGTGTGTCAGTGGATTTGATGATGATGGATTCTTCTTTGAGTGAGGGGTTTTGTTTGCCTCTTAAGGAGGTCTTGGTTCATATCCCCATTACTGGATCCCGTGATATTGTAAAATTTTCATCCAATATCTAACCCGCTTTTTGGGGAGAAGTTAATGAAAATATAGTTGCACAACAGTTTCAGAGGATTTGGATGAAACAAATTATTTAATCTTTTTCAGTCAGGATTCAGAACTGGATATAGAATGGAACATATTGGTTATGCTTTTGAATGATCTCTGGCATGGGTAGGATGGTGGTTGTGCATCCATCTTTGTTTACTTGACATCTAGGCAGTTTTCAATATCACTGACCATGGTATTTTTTGGGATTGTCTCAGAGGATTAGGGTGATGTTATGCTGGTTCACCTTCTTTTTCTGGGGTCACTTCCAGTAGGTGTATTGGGGAAGAGAAATTCCATCCTCAGCTCCTACTGTGTGGGTTGCCCCAAGGGTTGGTGCTCTCTCCTCCCTTGTTTAACATTTACATGAGGCTGCTGGGTGAGTTCATCTGTTACCATGAGATGCAGTATCATTTACAGTGCATTCAGAAAGTATTCAGACCCCCTTCACTTTTTTCCTCATGCAGGAAACCCTATACCATTTCAGACAAATGGCTGTCCAGTCTCTTCTTAAAAACTTCCAGTGTTGGAGCATTCACCGCTTCTGGAGGCAAGTTGTTCCACTGGTTAATTGTTCTAACTGTCAGGATCTTTCTCCTTAGTTCTAGGGTTGCTTCTCTTCTTGATTAGTTTCCATCTGTTGCTTCTTTTCCTGCCTTCAGGTGCTTTGGAAAATAGCTTAACTCCCTCTTCTTTGTTAAAATTAATTTTTTTCTCATTAATCTACATTCAGTACCCCATAATGATAAAGTGAAAACAGAATTTTAGAAATGTCTGTAAATTTATTAAAAAGAAAAAACTGAAATATCACACTGGCATAAATATTCAGACCCTTCACTCAGTACTTGAAGCATCTTTGCCAGCAATTACAGGCTTGAGTCTTTTTGTATGATGCAACAAGCTTTGCATACCTGGATTAGGGTATTTTCTGCCATTCTTCCTTGCAAATCCTCTCAAGCTCAGTCAGGTCCCTACAGAGATGTTCAATAGGGTTCATGTCAAGGCTCTGGCTGGGCCACTCTAGGACATTCACGAAGTTGTCCCTATGTCACTCCTGTGTTATCTTGGCGGTGTGATTAGGATCATTGTAATGTTGGAAAGTGAACCTTCAGCCCAGTCTGAGGTCCTGTGTACTGTGGAACAGGTTTTCGTTGAAGATATCCCTACACTTTGCTCCCTTCAGCTTTCCCTAAACCCTGACCAGTCTCCCAGTCCTTGCTGCTGGAAAACATCTCCATAGCATGATGCTGCCACCATCAGGCTTCATTGCTGGTATGATATTGGGCAGGTGGTGAGCGGGCCTGGTTTCCTCCAGACATAATGTTTAGAACTGAGGCCAAACAGTTCAGTATTGGTTTCATCAGACCAGAAAATCTTCTTCATAGTCTGAGAGTCCTTCAGGTGTTTTTTTTTTTTGAGAACTCCAAGTGGGCTTTCATGCTTTTTGCATGAAGGAGAGGCTTCCATCTAGCCACTCTGCCATAAAGCCCAGATCGATGGAAGGCTGCAGTGATGGTTATCCTTCTGGAACTCTGTCCTATCTCCACCTAGGATTTCTGGAGCTCAAAATGACCACTGAGTTCTGGGCATATCTCTTACTAACCCCCCTCTCTCCCAGTTGCTCAGTTTGACAGGGCAACCAGCTGTTGGAAGAGTCCTGGTTGTGCCAAACTTCTTCCATTAAAGGATTATGGAGGCCACTGTGCTCTTGAACCTTCAGTGCAGCGAAACCTTTATCATAGTCTTCCCCAGATCTGTGCCTTGCAATAATCCTGTTTCTGAGCTCTGCAGGCAGTTCCTTTCCCCTCATGGCTTTTGCTCTGCTACAGTGTGCATTGTCAGCTGTGAGGTCTTCTATAGAGAGGTGTGTGCCTTTCCAAATCATGTCTAATCAATTTAATTTACCACAGGTTGACTCCAATCAAGATGTAGAAACATGTCAGTAATGATCAAGAGAAATGGGAGGCACCTAAGCTAAATTCCAAGTGTTGTTGAATATGAACTGAATATTTCATATGTGATATTTCAGTGTTTTTCTTTTTAATACACACATTTCTAAAATTCTGTTTTCACTATGTCATTATGGGGTACTGAGTGTGGATTAATGTGAAAATATGAATTTCAACAACTGTAGAATCAGGCTGCAGCATAACAAAATTTGCAAAAGTGAAGGGGGTCTGAATACTTTCTGAATGCACTATATATGCTGATTTCCATTTCCATTACATTTCCATTCATGGTGAATTTAGCAATGCTCCAGATATTTTATCCCAGTTTCTGGAGGGTGTAAGGGTCTAGATGAGGAGCAACAGGCTTCATTGTACCCTGGTCCTACAGTTCTAAATTTGGCCTTAGTGGTGGAAGGGATTATGCTATCCTACACAAGTCTTCTGTACAGTCTAGAGGTTTTCCTGGACTCACCACACCTACTCAATGAATAGGTGGCAGTTATGGCTAGTAGGGTATTTGCACAACTTTGTACTGTGTGGCAATTGTGCCTGTTTCTAGATTGAGGGGATGTAATCATGGTCACTCATTCTTTGCTTCTAGTTGGATTACAAAAGTGCATTCTACACCGGGATACCGGGGAGTATTTAGAACCTTCAGATGGTGCAAAATGTAGAACTGTGAGCAGTTGTGTGTGTTTCTGGTAGAACACACATTATACCTCTGCTTCACAAGCTGTGTTGATTACATATTTGTTTCCAGGTCTAATTCAAGAGGCTGGCGTTGACTTTTAAAGCCCCTCATGGCACAGGACCAGGTTATTCGAGGGACTGACATTCCACCAGATTTATTAGAGTATGCATGATATGAATACTATCAACTAGTAAATTACATTTAGTGTGCCCTAGACAGTGGGCTTTTTCTGTTGTGGTCCCCATGCTGTAAAATCTTCTCCCTCCTAAGCTTGGTCTCAATCATTTGAGCTTCCAAAAGTCTCTTAAGTCTTAGTTACACCAGCAAGCCTGGGACGTTCAGGATACAAGAAAACTTTTGAAGTGACTCTGTTATCATTAATAACTCTCCGTCTGCTGTTTATTTTTTCTTGCTGTTTTTAGAGTCTTTTTGTGGTTTAATTTTTTTTATAATTAATCATGATAATAGTTTTAGGTATTTATTGTTTGTATAGCTTTATTTTATGGCACGGAGAGTTGCTTGTTTGCTGAGATGGGTAGCTATATAATTGAATAAATAAATAGATAAAACTTTGTTTCTAATTTATAGTAAACGTCTATTATAGTGGCATAGACTTTTTTCCTGACATAAGCTTAATAATAATAAAGTTGGAAGGGACCTTGGAGATCATCTAGTCCAACCCTCTGCTCAGGCAGGAAGCCCTATACCATTTCAGACAAATGGCTGTCCAGACTTTTCTTAAAAACTTCCAGTGTTGGAGCATTCACAGCTTCTGGAGGCAGGTTGTTCCACTGATTAATTGTTCTGTCAGAAAATTTCTCCTTAGTTCTAGATTGCTTCTCTCTTTGGTTAGTTTCCATCCGTTGCTTCCTGTCCTGCCTTCAGGTGCTTTGGAAAATAGCTTGACTCCCTCTTCTTTGTGACAGCCCCTGCTATCATGTCACCCCTCATCCTTCTCTTCATTAGACTAGACATACCCAATTCCAGCAACTGTTCCTTATATGTTTTAGCTGCCAGTCCCCTGATCATCTTTGTTGCTCTTCTCTGTACTCTTTCTAGAGTCTCAGCATCTTTTTTTGCATCGTGACCAAAACTAGATGCAGTATTCCAAGTGTGGCCTTACCAAGGCATTGTAAAGTGGTATTAATACTTCACGTGATCTTGATTCTGTCCATCTGTTAATGCAGCCCAGCACTGTGTTGGTCTTTTTGGCAGCTGCAGCACACTGCTGGCTCATATTTAAATGATTGTCCACTAGGACTCCGAGGTCCCTCTCACAGTTACTACTATTGAGCAAGGTACCCCCTATACTATACCTGTACATTTGGTTTTTCTTGCCTAAATGTAGGATCTTACTTTTTTCACCATTGAATTTGACCTTGGGAGACAGGTTGATCTCCTTTCCTCTCCTGTTTTCAAAACAAGATGAACTTGATATCTACAAATATTGTGGACATAGTCTGCAGACTGACCAGGATAGAAACTAGGAGGAAGTTCCAAACTTTGCTAAATTTAAAGTAAACCCATTGAAATTAATCTCTATCTTATTATTGCATTCTGATGATGACAGATACTGAATGGAGTTTCACTTCTGGGTGGAAAACAACAGAATAGAATCATCAAGAATGAAGCATTCCATCTTAGTTGTACTTTTGATTTCATACAAGGCCTTTAAAAATACTTTTGAAAGTAGTCAGATGTTGTAATTGTAGTTTGACATTATTATCTTGCTTTTAGAATTATTGCCAGAGGATCTAATGAAGCATATCTGTCATGGGGAGTACTGAAGACTAACTGTATGGTTCCCCCCCCCTCTATTTACTCTGTAGGTGATCTTTGAGGCCTTGCACAATCTGGAGCCTCGTGGTTATGTGGTTGGATGGATCATCGCTATCAGTTTACTGGTGGGAATTCTCATCTTCCTGTTATTGGCTGTAGTGCTATGGAAGGTAAGCTGTCTGTCAGACACAACATAGACAAAAGGATTAGCCATGGCCTTGGCTTAAAGTGTTTTTTGGTCTTATAGGCTCTCTAGCATCCATTAATTGCAAAGAATCTTATATACCAGGATCATTAAAGTTCAGAACAAAAGGTTGTGTTTTCATTTTCTTTGCTGGGAAATTGAAGGATTGTTAAAATTATGTCAGAACCTTGAAAGAGGAACATGTTATGGCAGATTCCACATAAACTGATTTTTCATGGCTGGCATTGTAGAAAGTGTCTGTTCATGTTTACATCTAAGCCTGTGACAGAGCCATTGCTTTACTGTTGCTTCAGTGAACTTGTATGGTTGTGAAAAATAATTGAGAACTGACCAGAGGGAAGAGGGCGTTCCTAACAGTCTGAACAGAAGCCAGTTGAAATGAAGTTGTTTCTCTTCAATGAAGTGAACCAGAGAGTGCTGCTTGAGCCATCACAGATCAGAAAACACCAAGCACAGCCTGATTTTCTGGTGGTCTGGGGCCAAGTTAAGGACAGTGTTGTGTACTTCTGCCCTCGAGAAATAGTCATTGGCTCATATTTACTTTGAGGCAAGATGACTGTGCAGTTCATAAATAAAAAAATAATACCATTTATATGCCTCCTCATATCTGAAACCATCCTTACTTCCACCATATCCATTCCCAAATCATGAATCACGTTTTATTCTTTAAAGTTCTTACTCCCTCCCCCAGAATCTTAACTTCATTCAATGACTACTTCCTCTGTTCTTGTCTTCCTTACCACCCCTTCTCTCTTCCTTCTATGTTGTTCTGCAGTTCAGTTCAATTCAGTCTTCAATCCTCTTCAACATGCTCTTTTTGTATTGGACATTCAGTTTTGTATTAATTTATCTTTGATTCTGTTTCCTTGAGTTTAACATGCAAATTTCTAAAATAACCCATTCACACTGCATTTAACCTACTTTTATCTTTCTTGACATAACCCAGCCCTTACTTTCATTTAAAAATATGCTCAAAAGCATTTCCTCATACAGAAAAGACTGCTTCTTTCAACTAACAGTACTGTAGATCTAACCAACTGAAGACCAATCTCCAAATTTCTCAGTTAAAATCAGGTAGGTACTGTATCAGCAGGGTGGGGCGGGATAAGTGACATAACATGCTTATGATGTAATAATTCCACTTTTGTACAAGCTTCATGATAATCACATACACATAACTCAGGAGCAGGGCTTGTTTCATATTTCTGATAAAGTCATCAAGTTCTTCAGATCCTTCTGAATGGCAGTGCATAATAATATAATTCAGTAAGCTCTGGTAACAGAAGATAGGCATACACAATTTTTTGTATTTTGTTTATTTATGGAAGTAGCTTTCTGTCTTTGAAGAGGCTAAAGTAGTCCCTTACCTAAATAGACAGTGCTACCATGGAGGAAAACAATACTGCTGTTGACAACACAGCTGGAATATTTAAATAGACTGGTAGTATTTCCAGATGAGGTTAAGATTCTTTTGCTGATCAGAATCTCAGCCAAATTTTGTGCTTGGTGCAAACTCCTAATAATGATGTCACTTCAGGAAACTAAGAATTAGAAGGTGGCTGCACATATCACCTAAATGTTATGGTTCTGGTCTATTTCACAGCAGCAGTATTTTTTTGTCCTTAAGTCTACAAAATATGCCTTGTTATTCCATTGAATAGATAAATTTGTACAGATAAATCATAAGAGGCTCTAATTTAATTATCATGTGGTTTAGATTCCAGTAGCATTTCAGTTTTCTTCTTAATAACACATCTTGAATACATGAAAGTCTTTTTGCCCAAATTAAACAAATCATGCATTTCACTGTGTTTGTCATGAAGTTGCTTAGAAAAGTGTCAGCCCTAAATACACAGGACTTGCTTAGGAAAACGATCAAAGCACTCTTCTTATAAATACCCCACATCATATTTTTATGTTTAGAAAATTCTTTAAACTTTGTGGAAGATCAGCCAATTTAAAAATGAACATGAGAGTAAGGATTCACTATAAATGCTTCCTAACTTATCCATTTCCCCCTCTCCATAGCCTCATGTTATATTACATTCTTGGGAAATGGGAAATGATCTACATTTATTCTGCCAGTGATTTTTATATAGCCTGTTTTTAAGGATTAAAAAAAAACCATTTCTTTATCTGACTTGCAACTTTAGAGAAGAAAGTTAGGTACTATTTCCTATATCAGGAAACCATCATGGAAGGCAGATATAACCTGGAACTTCTTATTCCATATTATTGTCCTTTTTTTTTTTTTTTTTTGATTCTCCAGTGCTCCCTAATGGCCATAATTCCCAAGAATCTTCAGCAGCAATTGCTTAGCATTTCAAGACAGAAAACACAACAGCTCTGTAGTCTATGTCTTAAACTAAGTATAATATAGTTGGAAAAACAACAACACAATTCTTTATGCCCAGGAAATCAACATCCAGCCTCTGCCAACATATGTGACCATGGGCCAGTCATTTTGTACTTGAATATAGTTATCAGAAGTCGGTCTTCCCCTGTCTAAGGAAAGTCTATTTGGTAACAGAATAGCAAACCTCAGCCTCTGTCTACTCAGAAGTGAACTCTGCTGTAATCACTGGGACTCCTTCCAACTTATTAAATGTAGGGTTATAGCCTTACAAACAAATGGGGCTGTTTTATCTTATATCTGGAGAAATGATGCTTATTTTAAACTTAAGTTTATATTCCTATGCTACAGAGTTTTCAAAAACAAGATTCAAGCAATCAACTTAATTTTTATAGAGATAATAGAGAATGTTCTTCAAATTAAGTGATCAGAACAAAGTACAGTAGTGCTCTTACTGTGGTCTGTAATTTAACGCCTGCTATAGCAGCCTTATATATATTTTAGACCAGCAGCCCCCAACCTTTGGGACACCAGGAACCAGTTCTACAGAGAGAGGTTTTTCCATGGACCGGAGGGGGCGTGGTTTCATCTGCTGCCTGCATCCCTCCAATGGGGTTTTGCTTGTTTGCGTGGACTGGTTTCGGCATGCCATGGCCTGGTGCCAATCCATGGACCAGGGGTTGGGAACCCCTGTTTTAGATTTGTAAAACAGTTCTTAAAGTGTAGACTGCATAGTACGGCTGAAGGTGAATAATTTGGTTCTTAAGAATATATTTCTTGGCTTGATCTATCCCCAAATTAAGCAAAGTGAGTAATCTGCAGATTTAAGCTGAGGAGTTTCAAAATAATCCATTTGATATAGAAGTGTTTGTTTCAAAAATAATTGATATGCGGCAATCTCGTAACCTATTTTGGATCTTGGTTTGTTTCATATTGGATAAAATATAATATATCAAAATCACTTTCACTTTCACTTATTTTAGCTTGGCACAATTTCCTAAACATGGTTCTTGCTTGCTTTCAGAATGCTTTTGTATTGTATATATTAGGGCAGTAGATTTTAACTAGTAACATTCATACTGTGTATAGTGAATGCAATTTCTCAAAGGGACAGTTAAATTCCATTACTCTTCCCAAACAGGTTAAGTAAAAAATAAGTTTAGTTTGCCTATTTGTGGTTTACTGTTATTTTCATATTGCAAACATACTGTTGCAATTCTGTCATAAATGGTTTCGAGTTTATGATTTTTAATTATTGCAATTTAATGGTACATAATAAGCAGTTGTAAAATCTATCTAATCTATAAAGTTGCTCTCTCACACATAGAATTTTAGATTTGGAAAGCTGCTTATATTTGGTTACAGTCTTTAAGCTGAACTTCACCTTGCATTGCTCATAGAGATGGGAATACAGACATTTAGAGGGAGAAAGCAATAATTAAAGCAATAAATAAAAGCAAAAATATTACAATAATCAATTCAATCATATTTCAGTGTAAAGATAGTAAGTTCATATAATCCCACTTGCATATTTGTATCGGACAATGTTAATGCAAGTATTAAGTTGCATCCTTTGTGCAGTGACATCATACAGTATGTCACAGATGTTTCAGAATGAAAGATATATTTTTACTTTGCATTTTAATCTGAAGTTACCCAGCATTTACTTTATCATAGCTGAACCAAAACATAGTTAAAATACTGACACCCAAGTCTTCTTGACTTCTACTGTACAATGTCCAGCTTGAAAAGCTCATGCAGAATTCTAAATATAAGAGAAAGTGAATTATAGCTGTACTATGAGGAGAATTACAATTGATTTTCTGTGAACCTATGCAAAAATGGAACAGTGCAACATAAGATAAAAATAAAGAAAATCAGATCCTTCCAGCTTATGCTCTGACTCTGTCCAATCCTCCTGATTTGAATTTCCTGTCTAACTTTCTTTTCTGAAAGTCAAAATATTACTTTCTAAAATAGTTCATGTAGTATAATGTAGCCTTTTCCACCTGGAATTCACCAATCAGCAGGATAATTGGCTGAAGATTATGGTTGTTTTTGTCCAATTGATCTGGTGATTACATAGGATGAGATCATCTATCTATCTATCTATCTATCTATCTATCTATCTATCTATCTATCTATCTATCTATCTATCTATCTATCTATCTATCTATCTATCATCTATCTATATACATACATATCCCATATTACTAATATAATTTAGCCTTAATTTATTTTAAGAAAATCTATTGTTTTGAACTTAAATTATAACCATAAAATATAACTGAATAATACAAAGCAATCTACATTACCAATTAAAAATAATCAAATATGCATGTCACCAACCCAATTATTATATTATAATAATTATATCAATAATAAATACTGACACAATTGAAGTATTAGTAATTATTAGTGTTCATATGGATCTGCAACTGAACCATTCAGCTTGTCTTGGCAGTTTGTGGTGACAGTTTCATTAAATATATACTTTTCAAAAAGGAAAGTAGCAGTCTAATGGTTAATATTTATCCTCTTTTGTAGATTCAAAGTACTCAGAAAACTCTATGTTCTATGCACACTTCTATGAACTTACTATCTTTACACTG